GGGTTCACAGATTTGCTCCCAATTATGACAATTCAGAGATACATGAGCTGGTACCAGGATTTTTTAATTCACCAATTAATGCATACACACATATAGACACTATGGAAATAAAATCAAAGCCAAAGGCAACAACAGGTGATACTTACAAAACATTTAAGGGACACAGATAAGTAATGGGGTTGCACAGTTGGAGGAAAACTGATTGTGCAAGCTGATTTAAGAGTTAATTTTCCATGAAATGGTTGCAAAATGGACTATTTAATTAGTATTTATTCAGTTTTCTCCAGTACCATATACTAAATGTTTTTGTCAGTAATCATAAAATTTTTGTTACAGTGATAGTCTGAAGGTTTTATAGTGAAAGATGCTTAAGTTGCTGTTCTGTTTTTGGACTTTCTCTGTTATTTTGGAAATGTCTACACAGCTCTTTGGTCCTGTCTTATTTGAATTTATATAGTGTCTTGTCCACGCAAGGCTTACAAAATGCTTATTGGAATGAGTATGAAGAAAAGAAACTAAGTTCTGCTACACTAATTCGAATTCTTATCTCCAAACTTAAACCCTTTTTATGAAATTCCTGATAGGTTTACCTCTTTGCACCTTTAAGTGTATTAAAATGAGACTGAGCATCTGAGAAATTTAGAGGTCAAAACTTTGATATATAATAGACTTCTGAGATTTGTGATGCTGGGTCACAAGTAGACCGTTTTATCATCAGTGTAGTGGTGTTTGAACCAGAGTTTGTTTTTGTGCTGGTACTGTGGCTGGTTCAGAACCGACCAAACAATCAATTGAGAAAATAATCAGCAGTTTAATCAATAATGAAAATAATTGCTCTGAGTAACTCACTGTGGCACTGCCAGTTTAACCTTTGTCAAACAATGAAGAATTATCCCCCGCTTGTTTTTTGCTTCTGTACATGAACTGCCTGCTGTATAGATGATTTATCTGACAGGTGGCTGAATTGTTACCCTTTAGGAATTCATGATCATAGCAATAAATTCTCTATGTGCAGAGGATAGATACATAAAACATATTGGTCTCCTGTATTTATTAGCTGTCTGATTTATGCAGATCTTACTCAACAGATTTCTACCTCTGCGTATTTGGAGGGTTTCCACTTCAGTTGAGTTCAGTTGACATTTATAGTGCCATGGCAATCATGAGTTGCCATTATCTCTTAACTTTATTGAACGCTTTATATCTCCAGCACTGTTTATTTGGAAGATCTTAAACATGGACCCTTGTATCACATTTATGTCTTGTTGAGAGCATAAATATGTTCCCTTGAATAAGCCCCTATAAACCCTACTGGGTTGCCATGTCTCCATTAAGGAAATGAAAAAGGCAACAGTAGTGACCAAGCCTGTGCAGATTGTCCCCTCATGAAGATCTCATAAAGCAATGGGAGAATTATTAGCTCTCCAATAAATTATCTCATGTCTTTAAAGACTATTCTCTGTCTAAGAAGAGTTCCCACTGCCACCAGGATCCCCAAATAATGCCAGCCAGAAACCTGGCCGTCTGAACTGTCTGCAGAGAAAACAATGGATTTTGTCATGCCACATGGTTTGAGCCTGTGCTTCATGTCAAGTGACTCTACTTACTCAAATCAAACAATGTATCCAGTGTGTTTCATTATTAATGGGAGCCTGCTCTCTATTTTCTTCTGAAAGCCATAGAGCACCAGTGCCGGGCCCATAAGTAAAGACAAAAGTCACACAAAGTTACCATTTTTTAGCGGTGTGTTTCCACAACAGTTGGTTTCAGACTCGGTCGTCATCTAGCTTGGTGCCATATAGCATATTAAGAGTGTCTATGGATCTCACCTTACTGCACAGCGAGCCACTAACAGCAGCTTTATGGTCAGAGCAAGCTGGCTGCTGGGTGCTAGTCAACAACATTGCCAAGCAAACTCTTACCGGTCACAGTTTCTCTCGACTGCCCGTCAGGATTACAATGTTAGCCCAGCATCGCTAAGCCTGCTAGCCACATTAGCTGTGTAATATTCTAATGCCAAGTTGGCTTACCTTTAAAATAAACAGTAAAACAACACAAAACACGGCAATGCATACAGCTTCCAAGTTTGAAGTCAGGTCATGTACAGCGCATGGCGATCCGTCCTTGAACCATTACAGGGTCCGTTACGGTTGTGGAACATTTGAAGCACTAATTTATTAATTTAACACACCCTGAAGTGTAAAGTGTGGACATTGGCTGATATGTTGACATAGCTGATTTATGGGTCCAACTCTCAAATTTTGTTAATTTAAATGTTGCCGAGTTCTTTGATGGTGAAATGTTGTTTAAAATATCCATCCATCCATCCATCCATCGTCAACCGCTTATCCTGTGTACAGTCGCGGGGGGCTGGAGCCTATCCTAGCTGACATTGGGCGAAAGGCGGGGTACACCCTGGACAGGTCGCCAGTCCATCGCAGGGCCTATTTAAAATATCCAGTAAATATAAATTAAAAAAAGACAAATAAATCTTGCAGCACCTTTGGCCTGTGATGAGAAGACTGAAACCACTCTCGTGTCTGTACACTTAATATGAAGCTACAGTCAGCAGTCGGTTAGCTTAGCTTAGCATAAGGACTGGAAACTGGGGTAAACAGATAGCCTCGTTCTGTCCAATTTGTGAGTAGTAATGTAGATGGTAGAGTTTTGCAATATAAAAAAATAAAAAATGAGGCACAAACTTGTTAACATTTCTGTGGATGCAACATAAATATGTTGAGTTCTAGTGTGCTTCTCCATGCATCTCTCATAGATGTAAATAGCACTGGCACCAAAGTCTTGCACCGGGCAGCCATTGGTATTACCCTTCTATCTTTTTAGTTTTTGACACCAGGAAGTCACTGCTCCGGGCCAGGAAATAGTAAAAAAACAAACAAACAAAAAAAAAACAACTGTACAGCTTGTTGTTTTAACACATTTTTTGTATGAACTGAACAAATTATATTTTGGATTTTATGCTGTAGCCTTGTATTTCACAAATGGACATCTGAATGGTATCAAACTTCTCATCTATCTCTCTGCACCAAAGCAAATTTCCTAAAAAGTTGAACCGTTGCTTTACGGCACCTATATTGGGATTCACGGATCTAAGACTTCAAGTTGAGTGGACTGAAGACCACTTAACAAGAAAATTCTGAGCATATGCCTGGGCAAAAGCCCTGCATGGGGTGTTGAAAGGGGTTATTATAATCTTTTTTAAAGGTGTTATAAATGAGGCAGCAATGGAGCGTGCTCAGGTGTGAATTTCAGGCTTTTTGCAAGCCTGAAAGGATTAGTTTAGCAGATTTCTGATTTAGTTTTGTTTATAACTGGATGGGACAGGTTTCCTTACAAGCGCATTAAAAAGTCATGGTTTGTATAGGTTTCAGGGCAGAGCGTCATGTCCACAGCTGTTCTCTGCAACAATCTTCTCCCCTCAACAGTCTTTATGCATTTGGACACGCTACACTGTGCTCGATCAAACACTGACTCCCTCTCAGTTTCATTTGAATGAAAATGCTGCTTTATTATCGGCATGATTTAGATGCCACATGTTGTTCATTCTTTCTTTGATGCATGGCCTCTGTGGTTTGTCAGTCAGCTCCCCTATGAGATTTCTTACTTGTGTTTGTTTGGTTTTAATCCTGTTACAGTATTAGTATTCAGACTTTGTACTCTCACACAGGTCTATTAGAGACCTACAAGGGCTGTTAAATGGTCATGTGGGGTTCATTGAGTCATGCACATGTGTTTCATTTGGTTTTTGTGTGTCACTCATTACAGCTCAGGGTAGCATAGCATAGCTGTTTTTCCCTTCTTAACGAAGAGGCACAATAGCAAAGCAGATTCCAGGACTGAGGCCCGTAACTGGCAGACCACATCTCCATTTTAAAAAAGTGTAATTTGATTAAATCTGCTCTGTTTCAGTCCCAAATCTGTGCTGGCCGAAATGCATAAAGTGGATTAACTCTGTCACAGGATGATGGAGATTAAACTGGTAAACACAATCACTAAGTGATGCATATGGCCTTCAGGGGTGGAGTTACAGCATTATTTTTCAGACAGAAGAAACGGGTGAAAATATTTGGGTTTTAATTCCTGTGTGCACAGCTGAAAGGGCACAGTGCTCACAGGTCCCATTTCCATTTCAACACTGTTGCTGATTGAGCCCATAATAGCTCAAAGTCCCGATATATTTGTTCTTCTTGTAAAAATTTGCTCCTGCTAATGCAAATGATACTGCTAACGAAAGCGTTAACTTATTCAGCTGGTGTTTCTCTGGAATGATACGTCAGCATGTCTCTTGATCCCTGAAGCGATTTTCCTCCTGGGCGAGGGCGGGTAGTCATGCTTGCTCTGACGGTGAAGATACAGCCGGTTCAATGAAAGCGGGGGTGGCAGCTGGAGAAAATCCATTCCCAGAGTGAGCGTTCTGCTGAGGCAGGTATGCCGACCTTTCAGTCATCTGATAGGTCAACTCTCGGCAGCGTGCCTGGACACTCATGGCTAAACGCCAGGCCTGGTGGTGCTCGTAGTAAAGCTTATCTGAGCAGCAGCCAGCTATGATCAATGGAACCCCTTGGCAGCTCATTTATAGTACAGTATGGCACAACCACAAAACACTCACCAACAGATGCAGGTGACAGATGACGATTGGCCGCTCTGTGGAACGGATATGGACGATGAAAAGGAGGGGGTTTACTCATGTGCATGGTGACCACTCAGAATCTGCCATCTCCGTGTAAACCATGAGCAGAATGTCGTTTTAATCCATTGTGCAGTAGCTTAGTCGATCACCTTTAATTGCCTCCTAATTATTGTTTGTAAATTAGTCTTGGATGACTTTGATGCAATGAGATTTTTCTGCTTCGTCTGCAGGAACTGTGTGCAGAAGAATTTGCCTGCACCTGGTTGTCTTGCCTGTCAGAATTTAGCCCCCATGAGAAAAACAATAAAATTCCTCGTTTGTTGTAAATGCTGCTGCTTGTTCTTCCTCTCAGGTGCCCACGGAGTGAGAGAGGAGCCCCGGTTTGTGACGGCGCGCGCTGGAGAGAGCGTGATCCTGGGGTGTGACGTGTCCCCTCCCCTGGATGGCCAGCAGCCTCCCTATGTGGTGGAGTGGTTCAAGTTTGGAGTGCCTATTCCCTTCTTCATCAACTTTCGCTTCTACCCTCCTCATGTGGATCCAGAGTACACTGGTAAGATGTCTGTAGATGTGGCTAATACAGAGCAAAGTAATCCATGTCTAAAAGAATACAGAGACATTGTGAAAAATCTGTCTTATCTGTAACAGATTTAATTTTTAAAACTTTTGAATTAATGAGCATTTGGATGCATCTTGGGATGAATCAGGATCAAGATATTTTTAGGTGCCAAGCACAGTAAATCCACAGGACTTTGTCGTTTTGACACTGCGGCACTAGTTTACTTTGCAGATTTAAAGGAGTAGTTTGACATTTTTGGAAATTCTCTTTCTTGCCGACAGTGGAACCTTCACGTTGATGACAAGACACCGCACCAGGCCAAGAAATCATCTGAATTAAACAAACTAGAAGTAACATGTTAATTAGTGAGCTTCAGAGGTTCTAGTAGGTGGATATTGTTATGTTTTCTGGCTGCAGCTTCATATATACCATACAGACATGAGATTGGTATTGATCTTCTCATCTAATTCTCAGCAAAATGAAAAATAATTATATTTTCCAAAATGTCAGACTATTACTTAAAGTACAGTGATGATAACAGAGGATGTCATTTTGAACTCTTGAAGTTGTTTCAACTTGTTTGTCCTTGTTTCAGTGAAGATATAATCGACCAACCAAGTTACATAATACATATTATTTACTAGAGTTGATGACATCGGTATCAACCAGGTGATTGGTCAACCTGACCAATATTACCCCTTTAGCAGAGTATGCTCAAACCATGGTAAATCTACCTTTGTAAGTCTATCAAATGAATGAATATAATTAATAGTATAATTAGTATAATTCTATATACATTGCTGTTTATGCAGTATATGGATTTCCCTACATTGCTGCAGACCCAATTATGAGCTTCTGGCTAAGAACAGAGCCATTTCTGACAAGCAGTTGAATACATTGCAGTGCAAATGTGTTGTGTGCATGTACCTCCCAATCCTATGTCATTGAGAAGATTGACCTCTAGTTGTGGTGTGATCCAGTGTGTTTTCCCTCAGCTGTTTAGGCTTTAAATATACAGCATGATACAGTACACTGAGGCATTTAAGTACTAAAAGAAAGCCATATCGACTTTGCAAACTCTTCTGGTTCTTGAACTGCAATTCTTTCTTTTCTAACATGGTGATCAGGGCTGTGCAGGGGCATATGCTGCCTGTGAGTGCATAGAGGTAAATAACTGTGTCTCAGCAATTTACGACTGCATTGTACATACATTCTTTACTACACACTCTAGTGATGCTGCAGCACAGAGCACGTATAGTATAGAGACAATACAGTATATTAAAAAATCCTACATGCCATATATAAAAAGAAAAGTAATCTAATGAAAATGAAGCATGAAAATCTTTGCTTTTATAAAGCTACAACCAACAGATTAATTAGGATATAACTTACAAGATGTATTAAGAAACTGGCAATTGAATATTATGTCGTTGAAACATCTGACTGTTTTGCTTCTAAATTCTCCACTTTGTTCCCCATAGTCACTAAATTAGTTTCTCTGCTGTTTGGTACTGGGCAGCAAGCATGCGGGAAGGTGGGTGCGCAGGGTGCTGCAGCACTCCTTATTGACAGGGAGGAACACAGTGTGCAAATGACATGTGCAGACTACAGAATGGGCACTATTGTTACTAAACGACAACGTAAAATACAGTGGGTTAGTGCTGAATTCAGAGGTTCATATTACAACCTAAAAATTTGACGTCAGCAGCTGTTTGTACTGTTTTGTCATGATTATAGGAGCTACGTTGGTGTGATGCGCGGATCAGCTCTTACAATAGGCCTATCTGAATAATCTTGTACGCACAAATCATCCACTGGCCATCCACCTGACTAATTATTTTATATGGTTTATCCCACCTCTACCGGTCCTTATAACTTTCCAGGTGATTTATTTATTGTGTTGATGTGTTGAGTGTTTCCCTTTAACGGTTTACTATAAAGATTTGAGAGGCTGCTGTCGGTTAATTTAAAAGTTTCCATGGCCACAGTAATGTCACAGCAAATACTGTCGTCATGGGACATTTATGCGGCAAAACTAAAAACTTTGGTTATAAACTTGACAGGACAGACAGAGGAAAGTCTGCAGAGGAAACAGAATTCTACTCAGGAGCTCAGGACTGAGGACTGCTTTGAACTGGACTGTGTGTGAGACCTTTTGGATGAACACAGAACATTAATTAACGTTAGATTCTGACCGATCCTGCTGGCGTGTCATGAAATTTAAATATGTAAATGCGAACAGCGTCTCTGCTTCACCCCATTTCACCCTCCCCGAAAGTCACAAAACATATCGTCCAAAGCTGTTGAAGGAAAGTGTGTAAGTGCGTGCACACACACAGTCTGTCATGTGCACATTTCTACAGTACGGCATCCCTGAGTGAAAATGTCTTGCCGCGCACCCGCTGGGCAGGTAGTGTACAGTGGGTTTTTTAGATATTTTGTGGAAAACAGCTGTCTATCATATCTGTCAGCTGTCTGTCTGTCATCATCAGGTTATCATATATATGATAACCCTAAATATGTGTTTTTTTCACATTGATCACAGCATCACACAACCTTAAAATCTCCCTCTCCTGGCTTAGACAATATGGTTCCCACTGCCTTCACGCAGATTACTTGCAGCAGGAAATTGGTTCTTATGATGTTGCTTCAGTGTCTGTATCAAGATGGCGAGCTGTCAGAACGGGGTCAGAATTAGCCTTTCCTATTCCCACCAAGTACAAAACCCTGCCTGACCTCGTAAAAATGTACTGTGAAATAAAGGCAAAGCACAGCTTGTTGAAAGGCTGGAGGATTCATCTCCCTAGTGTGAGTGTCCTAAATGTGGACATAACAGATTTGTCAGTTTGTTAATAATACTGAATTCATTGAAATTCCTCGCTGTGGGATTTTCAAGCAGGGTCATCACTGCAAAGACTTAATGGCAGTAACTCACTGTCTGGGGAACCCTCCTTTTTGTTTTGTAGTGGCTACTGGAGATACTGCAGCTGTTGGAGCTTTTAATTGTTCACAGTAACCTCCTGACTACCACCAGGGTATGAACAAGCGGTGATTTTCAAACAGCATCACACTTCACTCTGCTCACTTGGGCTCTAGTGGGCCTCTGCCATGTGGCATCAAGTCCACTGTTGAGGAATTACCAGTGAACAGATGCAACATGAATATGGCCAGTCTCATTATATAGATTAAAGTTCGTTCTGGGGATGTGCATGGTGACAGTGTGATAATGACACTGGACTGTAGTTTACGAGATGCTCTTTGGGGCCACGCTGTCTCAGAGCTCATTTGGACTATTCCCATGAATTGTTATCACGCACAGTATGAATAAAATTGGTGAATAGACTAAATGTGATATTATTCCATCACACAGCTGCTACCAAAACAGAGTAGATTATCCATGAATACTGTACTTACAGTTAAAGTATTGCAGAGTAATGCAGATTTCATCTATGGTTCAATCACTTTGTCTGAGTCAGTGAGCATTACCATTGTTCAATTTCCAGTCTTGCTAATTGTTAAAAGACCTACAGTATATTCATTCGAATAATATAACTCAAGATTTCTCAAAGAGAAGATGTATTTTTTGTCCTCATTACAGCTGTGTATTTTCCCTGTCTTATTAACTGCTAAGTGAAAAATTTTACATCTCCTTGCAGATTAAAATCTATCCTGTATAATTTTGCCAGTTTGTCCTGCAGCTATATGGAAATTACAACATTTAAAAACATCTATTTTTGTGCCCACTCAAGCAATGACGCAATCAATAATTCAGATGTGCAGCTTGTGAAATTTTAGTGTCAGATCGTCCCGCTGTGGGACAAGCTGTTGGAAAACTAAATCATATCTCTTAGCACCAGCTTTAGCTGAAAATGAATATGTATAGTATATGTAAGACAGTCTCTAGGGTTGGGCAATCGTTGAACATACAGAATAATATTTTGTGGCTTTGTCATTTGCCCTTCTAGTGAGGAGTTGCTAGCAAAGTAGCACATTAGCTACTAAGAAATTTTTGACAGCAGACATCTTATCGTATCATAGCAGGAAAATGCAGGATAGCTGCAAAACCTATTTTACTTTAGTCACGCTATTTAGCTTCTTAAATATGTACTTTATGCACAATTTATTTGTATCTGGTTACAGTTTTTAAAAAATACCTAATTTAGGCTATTATATCTGGTGTGACTACAAGGCTAGCGATGCATTTTCCATCTCACACTCACAAGCTGGAATAATGGGAGAATCTCTTGTTTGTCCCATTCTTCCAGCATTGCATGAATCCTGCAATATAGAAAGTAGGGTATGATTTTGAACACATGAAGAACAGGAGAATCACCTGTTATTCTGACTTGAGAGCGTTTATGCATTATTCCAAGATGGCATGTACACAACTTTCTGCTAACAATCCCAATCGTATTTGTGGATGTGAAAATAACAGTCCTAGAATGCTACACTGGTCACTAATGAGGCAAAATCATTACTAAACATCCGAAATCTCAGTTTACTGCTCACAGTAGCCTACTGAGAGTGTGTATTGTATAGGGTGTATTAAATGAGTGAACCATGGAATTGTTTTGGACAGTTAAATTAATATAATGGGTGGATATAACAAGCCAACATTTATGCTGTGAAAGAGATATAATAGGGTGGCAAACACTACAGTCACAAGGGATGAAAATAAGACTACATTTTGGAATGTTATTACTTTCAGGTAACTTTAGTGGTCCTGGGTAACTGTATTTATGATGCTAATTTAATCAAAGGTTATACATCCAGCAGGTTATACATCCAGCTATATTTTCCCAGTTAAGTTGGTTTTTTTAGTGTACCTCACTGTGTCTGCCAACTTTGTCACTTTGGATCTTTAACATTTCCTCTTCAAAGATTTCCTATCTGACAAAGCTGATGTGATCTGAACAAGGTGTTAGCTCATCTGTTTTCACAGTAGACAGAACCCTGTACTGTGTAAGTGGTGTATGACAAATGGGAGCTGAGGTTTATCCTTACCCTTCACGCCATCACGCCATCACCCACCCCACTCAGCACTTCAACGCTTAGGCAAAAATAGACCTGACTTTTTAAAGACAAGCTACCTTTTTACTGCAAGACTGCAGTCCCTGCTCTTCTCTCTTCCTCTTTGCTGTATTGATTTTCTTCATCAGTTTTCTATCCCAACTATGGCAGCAATCCCAGGGTTGGGGTATCTATCTATACAGTGCTGGTAGAGCAATTCAGTCGCCCCACAAAGTCAATATATGTGCCTGACACTGAAGTAACAGGAAACAGTTCTTACAGTACATCTACACATCAAAGTTTGGCAAAATGCTCCATCTGAAAACACTCGTCAGACAGAGCAGAAGCGAATGTTTTAGTCTGTTGGGTTGTCAGAGGCAGCCATGTGAGCAGCGGGCTGGAGGCTTGAAGACAGACAGCTTAGCAGCTGAAGATTTCACCATGCCTGGTTTCCTGAACTTCTCTCGTCCTTGAGATTTCCTTCTTTTAGAATTCCAATTTATCCTCAGCCTTGAAGAAAAAAGGAGGCGGGGAAGGAGAAGTTTTATAAGAAATAGATGATTTCTATGTGGTGGGAGGCTGGTATTTTTCCACAGTGAGACCAGATACTTTATTTTAATTCAACTTAAGGTATGGCTCCTAGGTAGTTTTGTGCATGAATCCTAATACTGGAAGGTAGCTAGTTTGTTTTCAAGACACAATGATGATTAAATAATGTTACGTTTAATTGGTTAAAGGAATAGTTTTGAGGAATACTTTGTTTGTTTTTTTTTGCTGATCTCACACTCATGTCTGTCTGTTATATATGAAGCTATATCCAGGAGACGGTTTATTTTAGTGTAGCATAAAGACTAGAAGTAGGGGGAATAGCAAGCCTGGGTCTGTAAACAAAATCAACTAAAACTCACTAATTAACATATTCTATCTCCTTAAAGAAAGGCACTAATCGACTGTAAAACCAAAGGTTGACGCTTTTACACCAGTTTTTGTATAGCTTGAACAAAGCGAGAGCCAGGCTAGCGGTTTTCCTCTGCATCCAGTTTTTGCTAAGCTAATTTTAAGCTTCAGTTTTTCTACAGATTAAACAAACAAGATCCAGTATAAAGTTATTTTGTTGTTGAATGAGCTTTAGAGGTGCTGGTAAGCACATTCTCTTACCTTTGGACAGAGGCAGTCTAGCTTTTCCAGCCTTAAACTAAGCTAACCATCTCCTAGCTTCACAGACATGAGAGTGTTACCAATCTCTTTATCTAACTCTTGGCAAAAAAAAAGCAAAGAAGCATACTTCCCAAAATGTCAAAATTATTCAGACAGAATTATTTTACTTATAATCCTATGAGTTTGGGTAGAATCTAGAATCTGGATGCACTTTATATCCGACTGTGTTTCCTCCAACAGTCCAAAGGGAGTCAGCCTGATCGAAGGCTCTAAATTGCCCATGGGTATGACTGTACAGTAAGTGTTTGCGATTGTCTGTCTCTGTTAACTCTGTGAGAGACTGGAAACCTGTCCAGGGTGTTTTCCTACCTTCCATCCAGTGCTTGGAAAGGCTCCAGACTGTTGTAGTCTCTGAACAGGAATAAGCAGATAAAGAAAAAATATTAAATAATGAATTTGTTTGTCACACCCAACTTGGACATAAAAATCAGGCTCCAAAAAAGGAAAAATAAAAATAGGTTTGTGTTTATTTTAATAACTTGTAGTTCAAAGTCTGAGTTTGTGGAGTCCTTGCAGAGAATAGTGTTACGGCCCTAGAGCCGTGTGTACTGTGTTATGTTTTGGTGCGTCTTTCTCCTGTAGTTGCAGCCTTGCAGCCTTGCAGCTGCAACTAGTGATGGGCAGCAGCTGCACCTGATTCCCCAATCAGTACCTGGAGGATAAGAGAGCAAGGAGAGTGCAGCAAGTGGTTTATGTGGCTGGTTTTGAGAGGCCAGCGTGTGAGGCTGGTCCTGTGGGGCCAGTCTATGTGGCTGCCGACCAGTGGGTCAGATGGCGGTGCTTGGGTACAGCAGGAAAGGAGCTGCGTGTGAAGCTGTGTGTTTGGGACTAGCGGAACTGTGGGCTCGCATACTGCCTTGGAAGAGGGAGGGCGTTAAATGTGTTTTTATTTAAGTTGCTAGTTTTGTGTTTTGGTTAAAACCTATATGACCACCTTTTGTTAAGTAGTTTAGTTCTTTGTGTTTTTGTCTCTTCTGTTCCTCTTTGAGATATGTTTGTTAATAAATCTATTTGTTTGCACATAATCTGTTTCCTGTTTCTTTAGACCCAGTTTTCATTTATATTTGTTACTCCTCTCTTCACCTCTGCGCTTGAGCCACGTGAGGACATAACAATAGGAAAATGAGAGAAGCAGAGATTCTTATAATAATGTATTCTGAGAGATTCTGCGTGATAATGTTGCACTAATAATAATCCTAGTAATGTACAGTACTCACTGGAAAAATATATTTTACCTTTTTAATCTCTTTAAAACACAAACAAAGGCAGTATTTTTAACATTTAGTGCTCGCTCAAAAATATAACACCATGACTTGGAGGCTGCTTTTGATGCAAAAGGAAGTCTTTTTCATGCTGCAAGAAAAAAAGGTTGAAGTAAAGCACTTAACCTCCAACTGCTATGATGGATCTTTGTGGTGACCAGCAAAGCTACTATGTGAGTTTAAGTGGAGAAGCCAATCATTGCTGGGAAAAAGAGCATACAGGTGCTTTTAAAAGGCAAAAAAGACACACAGTGTTAAAGTGGTTTATTCTGGTGTTTTTTGTCCTCTCTGTTTCCAGGTAGAGCCTCTCTGCATGGGAAAGCCTCCCTACAGATTGACCCAGTGCGCTCCGAGGACCAGGGCTGGTATGAGTGCAGGGTCCTGATGCTGGAGCAACAGTACGACACCTTCCACAACGGCAGCTGGGTGCACCTCACAGTCAATGGTGAGTCACCTGCCTACGGTGCCTGCTGACCTGGGAACATATGTTTGTGGGTGTAAATGAAAAATAATTAGAAAACCTGCGTCATACTGCTGTTGGAAAGATTTGGCATCTTTTACGTGGATGGTTAACGTAGTCCATTGAGTTCTCCATCTTCAAATAAGTAGTAAATATTATGGTTGGTAGTTGGCACACTCAAGAGTGGGCACAGAAACACAGGTGGCAGGCAGGCTGGTGGTAGCGTGGCCTGGCTAGCGATGCGGTGAGGAAGACACTGTGGTGAGATCTGGTGTGTACACGAGAATCATGGTGCACAGAAAAAACACACGTTTGAACAGGTCACTGGAAGTACGACAAACTACTAGTAGGCACTGAGTTAAAGAGACCAAGGGTACTGTACCACATAGTGTTAGGAAAAATCTGGCAATGAGCAGTAGAAAGCCAGGAGTATTTAACTACGTGGATGATAAAATGATCGAAGTCAGCTGTGCTGCTCCACAGTAATTGAGTTCAATCTCAAAACGTTTTGCAAAGGTTGGCAGCCTTTCCTTTAAATTGTGCGCAATGTTGTGCAACTGCCTTCGAGGTTTTCTCCAGTTTGTTGGGTGTGTCAGAGGTGTTACCCAGTGAGAAGGTACATGTTTGTAAACACAGCCGCGTTAATAAAGCAGGAAAACGCAGTGCGCTTGCGTACACAACAGGGTGTTCAAGGCACCACCGTTTCTGTTGAAATAAACGTTTTGCTACGTTTTGTCGGCGCTGAACTTGGCCCAGCTGCCCTGAATATAGCCACACCCATACACTATACACCAACACAGACAAGGGAGAGAGGAAAACTTTTTTGGCCAAAACATTGACAAGTTGACAAAAACACTCACATAATGGCCATCCACCCTCTCGGCCCTGCTGGTTTTGGTTGTCTTTCCCAGTTTATCTTCTGAATCCTGAAGAAGGTCTCCAGCACATCTCTGTCTGAGTGAGGAGTAAAATCTTCATGCATAGTAATGCACACTTGGGCTTTCTCTGAGTTGCCATTGGCAACAGCATCCAACAAAAAAAAAAGCCTACTCTGAAATTCACTGCAGCAGATTGATTCACTTTCTGTTGGTATCGGAGGGCAATTTCAGCAAATGTGGCGCCGGCCAGTGTTCGCTCTTGGCGGCTCAGGTTGTGGACGGTCCCTGCCAGGGCCATATCCTGTTGCATGGCTGTGACTGCAGCTTGAATAGGCTCAAATAAATATGGCTGAATATCAGAATCAGCCCAAACACTGTAAAATCTATCTTCGTCTATAATATCCACTGCACTAATATTTTGGGATGCCATTTTTGTTGTTGGATATGTAGCTAGTTTGCAATACAAGCAAATAGAGCGACATCTAGAGCATGTCCCCTGGAGGGGAGGCGGATGCGGCCACGGTCACCTGGAGGTCCACACAAGATGAGGCTACCACTCTTGTGGGCTCTTGTGGGCTCATATCCGCGCTGCTGCCTCGGAGGGGCGGCGGCAGAAAGCGAAATGGCTGCCTGGCCGGCCGCAGCTGGTGTTTTCTAGGCAAGGCAAGTTTATTTGTATAGCACATTTCAACAACAAGGTAATTCAAAGTGCTTTACATAAAACATAAAAGCAACAGGGAAATATAAAAAAAAAGTTTAAAAGCAACATAGGGAAATTGAAAAAATACACATTAAAATATAATAAAAGTTACAGTGCAGTGTACACTCAGGGTTAAAAGAGTTAAATGGAAAATAAAAACAGGCTGAGGGGTTGAGCAAATAATTGAGTTACAATTATTTTGAAAAGCAAATCAACAGAGAAGTACACTTAATCTACTCTCTCTAGCTAGTCTGTACTCGGGTCCATAGCAATCTTCGGGTCCACTGAAACTCCAAAAACCCTCGGACACTACAGAGAAACCAGGACATGTCTGTCCGCAGGCCACTTTGATCCAGTTATACTCTGGAACAACTTGCGCGTTTACAGGTGGACAGAGGTTCCTGCAAATCACTCGGGCGCAAGATTTAAGACCACTTCCTTCACTCTGTTCAATCTCATTCTCATTATCTTTTCACTCAATTACCTACTCATTTCTCACCGTGTAAATATTTAATTAAAAGCAATGGTAAAAAGCTAAAAACAAAGAAAAAGAAAACAGGACAGTAAAAGTTACAGTGCAGTGTAAGTTATCAATCTACTAGTTAAAGACAGTGGTAAAAAGAAAAATATTATTTATTATATTATAGTCTTAATTTAAAAGAACTGACAGTTTCAGCAGACCTGCAGTTATCTGGGAGTTTGTTCCAGATATACGGAGCATAATAACTGAACACTGCTTCTCCTTGTTTAGTTTTGACTCTGGGGACAGAAAGCAGACCGGGGGGTTACGAACTGTAACCCGGATTCTATGAGCATAGGCGCAGCCCTCTAAGGCTATCGCTATTGGGTTTACCCCTTCCGCGCGCCTACGCGGCACTGAGAATTTTAGTCTATGCCCACCCACAGCGTGGGCCTCTCTTACGTCCACACCTTGTATATATACAACGGTGAGACCCAGCCTTCGGCTCCCAAATGCCTTTTCTTCAGCACTGAGAACCAAGGTCCAGTGAGGCCCACAACTTAGAGGGCCGAGCCTATACTCATAGAATCCGGGTTACAGTACGTATTCCTGTTCCATTTCGTATAGGCTTCGCCCTCTAAGGCTATCGCTATTGAGTTAGAGGCGAAGCAGGATGAGTCAACGCCTCACTGGCCCATACGGTACCACCAAGCACAACTCACTAACCCCAGAGCCATAATGAGCCACCCAGTCACCCGCAGACATGGGAGGCCGAGGGCCGACCCATGTGTAAGACGGGAAACAGTGGGGGCCCCCGCAGCTGTACAGACGCAGGCGGGGTCACGACAGCAACCACGTCAGCGGCACCCAAGGCAGGGCCACGTAAGCAGCGGCCGCCACCCCATACCGTCTGGTGGGAGAGGGCGCACCGCACACTCACAAGGAGGATCACTCAGTCAAAACACTGAGTCAGAGAGAGATGGGAGACATTCCGCAGGTAGAAATGGACGAAAGAGCATAGGGACGACCAGGAGGCCGCCGTGCAGATGTCGTCCACTGTCATCCCACGTAGGAAACACACATTTCCCCTGCGTGAAGGCTGCCTGGCCGGCCGCAGTCGGTCCGTGTAGTGTGGAGCAAATGTGTGAGAGGCGACCACTGACTCGGCAGAGACAGCGGCGGGCCCAGGAAAAAGCACTTTAGGGCTCTGTTTGTGTTTTATTTCAAAATAGTTGGGGTTTCGCACAACAGTGCAAACAGAACAGGCATAGGAAACACACATTTCCCCATCGGCTGCCCCACCGGTGGAGAGGGACGGGGGACGGCATAAGGAGCTGAAGCCGCAGCAGCATTGGGCCGGCCGTGGAAATTAATTCTTTGACATACAGGAAGCCAATGTAAAGACCTCAGAACTGGAGTGATGTGATCCACCTTTTTGGTCTTAGTGAGGATTCGAGCAGCAGCGTTCTGAATCAGCTGCAGCTGTCTGATGGATTTCTTAGGGAGCCCTGGAAGGACACTGTTACAGTAGTCGAGTCGACTGAAGATAAATGCATGGATACGTTTTTCCAGGTCTTGCTGAGACATAAGTCCTTTAATCCTTGATATATTCTTCAGGTGATAGTAGGCTGACTTTGTAATTGTCTTAATGTGGCTCCTCAAATTCAGGTCTGAGTCCATGACCACACCAAGACTTCTGGGTTGATTTGTGGTTCTTAACATTACAGATTTAAGTCGAGTACTGACTTTCAATAGTTCCTCCCTGGCTCCAAAATCAATAACTTCAGTTTGTTTAATTGGAGAAAATTCTGGCACATCCAATCGTTGACCTCCTTAATACAGTTACTCAGCACTTGTATGGGATCATAGTCCCCTGGTGAAATGGTTATGTAAATCTGTGTGTCATCTACATAATTATGGTAACATATTTTGTTGTTTTTCATAATCTGATTCTGTGGAAACATGTAAATGTTAAACAAAAGAGGCCCCAGAATGGAGCCTTGGGGAACTCCACATGTCATTTTTTCAGATGTGTGATTACCTATAGACACAAAGTAGTCCCTGTCCTTTAAGTACGATTCAAACCAGTTTAGTACTGTGCCAGAAATACCAACCCAGTTTTGAAGTCTGTCTAGTAATATGTTGTGGTCGACCGTGTCGAATGCAGCACTGAGATCCACTGAGACTGAAATTCTGCCACTCTCAGTGTTTAAATGGATGTCTGAAGACCTTAACAAGAGCCGTCTCAGTGCTGTGGTGTGGTCGAAAACCTGACTGGAAAACATCAAAACAGTTATTTAGTGCTAAGAAAGCACTAAGCTGTTGAAAAACTGCTTTTTCAATGATTTTACTTAAAAATGGGAGATTTCATATGGGCCTATAATTGCTCATTACTGACCTGTCTAGACTGCAGTTTTCAGGGCCTGTGGGGAAAAAACCTGAGAGGAGAGACATGTTGACAATTTGTAGTAGATCTGAGGCCATGCATTTAGACACATTTTTGAAAAAACCTGTTGGCAGAATATCAAGGCAGCATGAAGAGGATTTCAGATGTTGTATTATGTCCTCCAGGTTTTTATGGTTAATAGAATCAAATTGTCTCATGCTATATGAATTGTTTTTAAGTGGACACAGGGACAAGACATATCCTGTACCTGATATGGAGGTGCTGATTGCTTGTCTAATTGTTTGAATTTTGTCTGTGAAGAAGGAGGCAAATTCATTGCAGGCCTTGGTGGATAGAAGGTCAGAGGCTACAGACACAGGAGGGTTGGTTAGCCTGTCGACAGTAGCAAACAGGGCACATGCATTATTAGTGTTCTTGGTGATGATGTCAGAGAAGAATAACAGCCTTGAATTTCTCAGTTCTAAATTATAAACGCTCTCTTTATAGATGTCATAATGAACCTGGAGATTTGTTTTCCGCCACCTGCATTCAGCTTTTGGA